AAATTCGAAGGCCTTCGTATGTTTTTAGACAAAATGATTTATTATATATATATTTATTTAAATTATTATTTTTGTCAAACAAATGTTTTATTGTGATCGAGTCAGAAATAATCAATAGTACCAAAATAAATATATTAATTAAGTAGTCAGATTGATGGCTTTATTTATCCGATAACTAATTATGCATAGAGGGGTCAAAGTGCAACATTGACTTAAAGGTTATTTATTATTTAATTGGAGTTCAATTAATTTCTTTTAGTGGAGTAGAAATTAATTTATGAATTAATTTAATTGGGTCCATGGACCGGGCTAATTATTAATTCATTGTAGCTAATAAAAATAATAAGCCCAAAGGATTCTCACTCATAACCCAACTTGATATTGGAATCATATTAGATTTGAGACATGTGAATTAGAGATTAAGAAGGATTTATTGTTTCTTTTTCCTTATCTTTATGTTGCCTATATATATACATGGTCTATGTATATTTTAGGTGTGATTTTTAGTAGAAGGAAAAAAAAGGAATATATTTTCTCTCTCTAGAAAATTATGGTTAATGTTCTCATCTAATAGAGGCTCCCACAAGCCTAGTTTTCCAAGGTCATTCATGGAGGCTTATTAATGATTCCCAAAGGCAAAACAATTACCAAGAATATGAAGATCTAAGTAGAATGCATCTTGCTAAGGGATCTACAATAAGTGAGAACATTCACTTTAGAGGAAAGAATTAAAGGTTTACTCAGACCTTTGATGTAAGTATTCAATCTGTTAATTGAATGATACATCATATTTTATTTTTGCATAAAACTTTTCTCTATGTGATAAATCAAGATTTATGTATGAAAATTTCTCAATTTTTTTTTTTTTTAAATTAGCACCTTTCCTAACACTTTTATCTCTGGTTTTCACAAATCATCCCAGGATGGTGATACACTGAATAGAGGAGTTTAAGAATTTTGAAAATATAGTTAGTGAATAAGTTTTTTTTGGTCCAGCCGAATTACATTGGTAAATAGTTTTGGGCAGATAGGTGAACTTGCCTTTGATGTAAAAATAATAAGAGACTAGTTAGGATTTTTAATTAAATAAATTGGCACCAATGTCACCAAAGCTATGCTCACAAACATAACAGCAACGAACCGATGGCAATTTGTCCCGTTTTGCCATTCTCATTCTTAGTGGCACAGGTATGGGAACATGTATGACAGTGGTGAGTATGAATTTAGATTTTAAACCCAAGTTACGAGGTGGGTATGAATTTTGAGAAACATCTGTCCCACCTTGTCCCGCTCTTTATATTTTATTATTATTATTTTTTTAAAATTATGTATATATAGAAGTAGATATGTGTAATAAATGTATGCACATTGTTGTGTTCATATATATATATATATATATATATATATATCATTATTTACTATACACATCATTATTTACATTGTATATAATCTATAGATTTTATCAATTTATTTATATAGAAAAAAAAAAAAAAAATCGTAAAAGAGGCGGGAATGGGTGCACTGATCATCTCTTAACGGGGTAGGTATGGATTGTGAAATTAAAATCCGAGTATGAATTTGTCCTCAATTAAATAGAGCAGGTTCAAATTTAGGCAAATTCGTTCCATACCCGCCCCGTCGCCATCCTAAGCAATGTAAACAAATGAACATGTTTCACCCAAGCTTCCATATATAGCAGTAATAAATATTCAATTTCATTTTGACACAACTTTCTCGGTAACATAATAAATTATGAAAATACCTTACTAACCAAAATCCGAACTGTGTGACAACGAGTGGGCCCCACCTAAATTTTGGGTAGTAAATCATTGCTCAATAATTTAGACTGGACAATAAATTTTATTCAATCATTCTAAAGAGTATTCATCAACGACATCTGCTAAACACAGTTTTGAGTTTTCCATTTCTTAATATCTACTATAGCAAAATCATAGAATTATATATATATATATATATATATATATATATCACAAATTTTACATGTAAGAAAGATACATAACACTATTTATCAACCCTAAAATAGAAACGGATCAAATTGAATAATATTCCATTGCAGGCAGCACAATTAGATTCTAAAAGTGGTTAAAAAATGCAAGGAAAAAAAAAATTTGTGTTATAATATTAGTCTTCAATTATCAAAGACTATAGCATAGTGATATTTTTTATTGAGTTTAAGTTCATGAGGAAACAAATAAGTGTGTCATTTTCTTTTCAATAAAAAAAATATAATATTAGTCAATTTCTTGTATTATTATATTACTTTGATTTTTGATGATTGTCTCGGGGCAAACCTCCAATACAAATATTCATTTGTCCATGGACAGGAGAAGATTGTTATGGCCTTATTATCCTAGTGTGAAAGAATGTAGATACATGAAATAAATTACATAAAATTATACATACTAAGGTTTTGTTCAAGAAAAAGCATGTGACATATAAATCCTTGGTTTCCAATTCCTTGCAAAGTCTCATCACAGTTAACTACTTGAATTAAATTTAATGCTATTGACAGGAGGAAAGCAAGAAAAAAAAATTGTAACATTCGGAGATTTTTAAGATATATGATCAGGCTAATAGGAAGGAAGACTCAAATACGGGGAGACCCGATCACACTCATTCGGAGAGTTGAATGCTTTACGAATTAGGCTGAACAATTTCCAACACTAAATCAACTTGAAGATGACATTAGGTGACCAAAATATTGTTTTAGAGTCAATGATGGGCATTGGATTGCAACAATATTATTTTTCTCTACAATATTGAAATATTAAAAACTATATATATATATATATATATATATATTATATCATGTAAAAAATAATATAAGTTGGATTTAATGAGGAAGTAGTATCAACTTGTTCGAAAAATAGTTTTTTACATGACACATACGTATAAATGAACATTAGCTACTTATTACCACAAAATCACCCTATAAATTGACGAGGCAGGTAAATATGTGTTTTCTTAATTTATTAGCTACGGGTATTAACAATGTTTACACTTGTTATGGAATCAACAACCAGCTGCATTTTTTTATTCTCTAATTTTCTTTGTTTTTTTCGGCCAGCCTAATTATGTTGGCAAATTGTGTTGGGCCGATAAGCGCGCTTGCCTGGGCTGGTGTAAAAGTATAAGACCAACTGCTTAGGATCTTGAATTAAGTAAAAATTGGCAGCAAAGCTCTGCTCCCAAACATAATCAGCAACGTAGAGAAATGAACAGGTCCTATATACATACATACACACACACACATATATATATATATATATATATATATATATATATATATATAGCAGTAATAAATATTCAATTTCATTTTGACACAACTTTCTACTTCAGATAATATATTATGAAAATATTTTAATTGCCAAAATCCGAGCAGTGTGACCGGGAGAAGGGAAGTGGGTCCCACCTAAATTATCATTACTCATTAATTTATAATGGACAATGAAATTTATTTAATAATTCTAAAGAGAAAAGATTTCGTGGTATTCCATTCGTCGGGCAAGTGGGGGATCCATCACAAACATCTAAGTGAGGCGAAGTTTTGAAATTTTCATTTCTTAATATCTACTGTAGCAAAATCATAGAATTCCTTTTATATTCTGTTTACAAATTTTACATGTAAGATACATAACACTATTTATCAACCCTAAAATATGAATAGATCAAATTGAATAACATTTAGACCCTAAAAGAATGAGTGTGTGGGGTTTTTTTGTCAATAAAAAAAATAATATTAACCACTTTCTTGTATTATTATGTTACTTTAATTTCTGATTATTGTCTCGCAGCAAATTTTTACTCCTATACATGTACTCATTTTTCATTGGAAAGGAGAAGATAATTATGGCCTTGTTATACTAGTGTGAAAGAATGTATCTACATCGAATAAATTACAGAAAATACTTTAATTAAATTAAACGCGCTATTGACCGGAGAAAAAAGCAAGAAAAGAAATTGCAGAACACATAAAGACCTTAAGATAAGACCAGGCTTAATGAATATGATATTTCTAGATGACTATGAAGACTTCAAAAAACCTAATGAAATCTATTGGTCATGTCAATCACGGCGTCTATGAACCAAGTCAAGCCTTAAAAGGTCCAACTGTTCAAGACAATGTTGTTGTAGGGGTAATAATATACTCACGCATAATAGGGGTAATAATATACTCACGCATAATGTATGTCATTGCACTATAAAAGGATGGCTTCATCTAATGCAAAACAGCAATTCAATCTAATCGAATTCGAGGAAGAGAAGGAAAGGGGTGACTTTACAAACCAAAAATGTGTTACGAGGTGGATTGTTAGACTTGTGGTAAGATTATTTAGGATGGATGTGGATTTCATGTGTCTAAGGTTTATAGTAAGATTCCAGAAGGTCAGCACTGTCTCTGTATAAAATGGTCGAGCGTCAAGTCCGGTGACAATTTAGGCACTGCTGATGGTGCTAAAACTTATTCTTCCCGCACCATTCTCTCTCTCTTGCCGGTTGCAACTGTGTTACTTATGATCATGACGTATTTTTTCACAGTAATGTGATTAGCCAAATAATCTAAGTAGTGTCTTTATTATGAAGTTTCACCAATAAATTTGAATTTGTTATCGGTCGGTATCAAATAATGTAGGTACTTGATTCTTTTTTCTTGGTTGAATAAAAGAAGCTTTGATTTTGATTGCAATTAGTTATTTTAATTTTTTACTTATTATTTTTAAGACGTGAAACCCTTTCAACAACTAACTTTTGAATTTATGACCGGAAGGTATTTAAACTCCGCGTGTGCAAGATGGTCACCAGACCAAGCACACCAATTTTAATCATGACTTAGGGTTTTGATGCCACCTCATAAAATTGGCCCTAGATCCTATCCACCGCGGATAAGCCCCGAGGGGCCCAAAAAAAAAGGTTAAAAAATAATATAAAATAAAGCAAGAAAATCTCCTTGTTTTTTTTTTTTTTTTTTTTCACAGTAAAGCAAATGTACATATAGGTATAGAATTTACATGGTGGCCCAAATGGGCAAAGGTAGCCCAACTAAAGATTTCAAAAAGAGGCAAGAGAGAGCCCACCCAAAACATATACAACCCAATGAAGAGGACCTAGCCTAGTGAACAAAGAAGAGGCAAGGAGCAGCAACAAATGAATAACCATTTATAACGGATAAGGTAACCAATGAATAACCATTTATAACGGATAAGGTAACCATTATATGTGGTTGCTCGTTGTAACTACGTGTTGGCCAGTGATGGCAACGAGAGTGGAGACCACAGAGCTTACAGATCACGCCACTCATAGAGATCAATCTGGAGGCATAGGTGGAGGATGGGGAGCTGCCGGAGCAAAGGACCAATCATCAATAAAATTCGAGAAACCAAAGTTCCTTGAAGCCTTCAAGGAGACAACAATGGAAGATGCAATTGACTTCAATACTTTCATTTGAGTAGAAGGTGAGGTTTTGAAAACCCTATTATTTCTTTCTTGCCATATATATGTTGTAGACCAATGTTGCGAGTGCAAAGCGGCATACTGTAACCTTTGGGGAATCATGATTCCAATGATGGCACACCCAAAATACAAAATGGCCCCAATTATTGCTCAATGTGTGGAATATGCATTTGTCTTGAATAAATCTCCAAATAGGCTTGACAAAATCACATTCGAAGAATAAATTAGAATGAGTTTCAGGAAGTCTTGAGCAGAGGTAACATTGGGTACCAAAATTAAGGCTAGACATACATTTGCTATCCAATGTGGCAAGTTTGGAATGGACTGCAATCCAGAGGATCCATTTATGCTCGGGTAGTGCCATTGACTTCCATATAATCTTGTACCATGGTGCATTGGCAGGTGTAGGAGAAAGGGCTGTGATGGTGTGCCTAAAGGTATAATGCTTAGATGGACCAATACTCTATATAATTGAGTCATTTAAATCAGGAGATGGTGGGATGAGTAGTGAGAGCTCATGGATTAAGAGTAAAAGGTCAGGTGGGAAAGTCCAAGTATTAGATGAAATGAACTAACTGATCTTGGTACTATATGAATACCTTATTGATTTAATTGAATCTTCAGAGTGATGCTGTAAGAGAGGACCACTGTTGAGCCAGTTATTTATCCAGAAGTAGGTGTTGTGACCATTTCTTACATGTGCTTGAGAAGATGCCTAGCAGTGGCCTTAGCTGGAGCATTTTCCTCCAACTCCAAGAGCAAGATTGAGAGACCTTCATTATCCAAAAATAGCCCTCTTTGAATAGGTATGCCTTGCACCAAGTCACCCAAATTCTCTGTGCACCACCAGTCTTAATCTCCCAAATACGTCTGAGAATAGTTGCATTATTAGCAGTTTCTAGGTTAGGAAGTCCAAGACCCCCTTCTAACATAGGTTTACAAACTGCAGTCCAAGCAACTCTTGCTCCACTTTTCTTTAGCTCAGCACCAGTCCATAAAAATCTTCTAATAAGAGCATTGAGATCAGAGATGACTTTTTTAGGCAAGATGAAGATGCTAGACCAATACATTTGTGTGAAAACCAACACTGATTTAATGAGAACCAATCTCCTTGCATATGAGAGGATTTTTGTTAATCAGTGGTTGATCCTAGATGCAATTTTGTCAAGCAAAAATTGACAATCAGCAGCCTTGAGACTTGTTGAAATCAAGGGAACTCCAAGGTGTTTGATTGGAAGTGATCCAATTGGAACTCCAAGGAAGTCAAAGAGGCTAAGTTGGTGTGATTGATCCAAATTAGGACAAAAAAAAAAAAAAAAATTGAACTTTTTGAGGGGTAAATTGCTAGACTAGAGAGTGTAGAGAAATGACCCAGTGCAGACTTAAGAATAGAAACATAAATAATATCCCCATGGCAAAATAAAATTAGACCATCAGCAAGGGAGAGAGGTGAGTGATTCCCACATTCTTACACCTACCAATTGTACTTGAATGAGGGACACATGCTAACAAATCTTTTAATAATGATCCCTGAGAGAATTTCCATAGATAATTTCCATAGATATTACAAAAAGGGAAGGGATGGTAGATCCCCCTGCCTTAAGCCCTTGACTCCTTGAAAGAAACCATGAAATTCACCAGTCACAGCTATGGTGAATTAGGGAGAAGTAATGCATGCTTAAATCCATTATTTGAGCCTTGTTGGGTAACCAAAAAGCTGAAAAGAGTCCAATATGAAATCCCAGCCCACAGTATCAAATGCTTTCTTGATATCCACTTTCCATGCACATGTTGAAGACAATAGGAGTTGTGATAACCTCTCATGAGTTCCTGTGTTGGAGGATAGAGTTAGTGATCATTCTACCTTCCACAAATGCAGTTTGGGTTGGTTCAATGATGTGTGGGAGAGTGGTTTGCAATTTGTATGCAAGCAGTTTGGCTATACTCTTATAGATTGCATTACAACAACTAATTGGTATGTAATCATTAAGAGAAGTGGGATTTTGCCACTTACGAACCAGAGAGATATAAGATGAGTTGCATTGCTTTAGTAGTTTCCTATTGTGGAAATTAATATTTTCTAATAGCCTTGATAATGGACTTGTCCACAATTGACCAAGCATGGTTGAAAAAATGCCAATTAAAACCATCAAGTCCAAGGGCTTTGTCCTTGTTGATTGAGAGGACACATTATTGAATCTCATGATCAGAAGGGGTGGCCTTAAATGAGTTAATTAAGCAATTGGCTGGGAACTTTTTTGCTCACAAAGGGTGAGAGAGTATTGTAATACCCCTATTTTTCAAAGGATTTATTTATTTTATTTGCATTTTATTTGATTACGTGGCTATGTGTTTATTTGATCTAAATTGTTTAAATGTGTACGTGATTTAATTGTGTGTGTAATTGTTTGTTTAATTATGTGTATTTATTTGCAATTAATTGTTAGGTTTAAATGTTTTATTTATTTAATTTAATTTAATTTAAAGGGATGTATTTGGATAGTAGTAATGGACCAACCAAATGGGTCTCATGCACTACTTGAATAGAAAGCCTTGATGGGTAAAGATTATGACACACACATATATATATATATATATATATATATATATATATAACAATATATATATATATATATATTGTTTGTATTATTATTATTATTATTTTATTTTTAGTTAGTCTTAGGTTATGATTTGGGTGTTAGTATATATAGATGTATTAGTCAGAAGAAGAGGGTTTTTACATATACGCAAGTTACAAAAAATGCATAGATCTAAAGAGAGAGAAAAAGAGACAGAGAGAGAAGAGGAAGAAGAAGGTGACCGGAATAGGTTGGAGGTTACCGGATCTAGGGAAGAAGACCGGAGAATTTATATAGTTGATTTTCAATCCGAAAATAATAAAGCAAGTTCTTTTTCTATCTCTTCCCCTTTGAATCTATGATCTCTCCATCACATGCTAGGCTTTAGGGATTAAATCAAAATTTTTAAATGGACAAATTGATTGCTATGCATGAAGTAAACTAAAGGGGTTCATGTTCTTAATTGTTTATTCTTTAACTTCATGGATTCTTTAATTTGATGCATAAATCTTGTTTTAAATTGTTGGATCTGATGTATATTCATTGTATAAATCATTGATGATCATATAGGACTTAGAAAACAGGTTTTAGGATCCAAATCGGGGAGTTACAGGTCAAGAATCGGATCTGCACATTCTGCCCAGCGACCTTGTGCTCGAGCACAAAGCTGTATGACGCGCAGTGCTAGAACACTAGGGTTTGTGCTCGAGCTCTAGGACTGTTTTTGTTAAAATTGTTTTAAATAACTCTGTTTTAAGTGTAATCAATCCCGAACATGTTTATGAGTATTGGGAACAGTAATATGAGTCTAAAATATATATTTTGGTGGTAGATCTTCATATTTTGATATTAGATGAAAATGATTAAATTAATTAAATAAATAGGATTTAATCTTTCTTAATATTTAATTTGTGTAATTAAATATGATTGTTGATTATATTATTTTAATCATTGTTGTTGATTTACTTATGAATTACTAGCATAATACATGGTTATAATTATTTGTCTTTAATATGATTAGTTACGATAAAAGATTATTATGACATTAATCATACTTCTAGCGTATCTATTGTTCTTGGTTAGAATTATAATGGACTATAATTGTTGTGCTGTTGATATGATAAGATTTATTCTTGTTTGTGATGCGGTTATTGAGATGATTAAAAAGTCAGGCTCCTTGATATTTTATACCATTGTTAGATATGGTATTGATTGATATGTAGGTGGGCTGGCTAATAAGTCATGATACTCTACTTGTGTCGTTGTTAAATATGGCATTTATTTTTATTCATGTTGTATATATATATATGTGAGCCATGATACGAGTTGGCGGTCTCGAGATCTATGGTTAAGTATGAGGCGTATATTACCGGATTTTGATGGGTAACTAGAATAGGATATGTGTGTGCCCTTGTAGATGATGGTATTCATGACCACCTTGTGTGCGCTTTGCATGATGCTTACTATACGGTTGAGAATGCCCTATTACTAGTGAGAGTCCTAGCGTGTATATATGTATATATCGACTGTGTAGATATAGCATGAGTTTGGTTAGGGATGTATTGATTATCGGTTCTCTGATCGGGTCATAGTAGATGGAACTTGTTTGTGGGTCTGACCCACTATTTATTTTTCAGGTCCTCGACAGTACCAGTTTTAGAGTTGTTCATGCAGATCAAAGATTGTTCATCTTCACTCTTCCGGATCATTGATGTAGGACATTCTTCAGATTATCCATTTATTTATCAGACTTAGTATTTTTTTATTATTTCAGTTGGGATATTATTAGGGGTCCATATGGTATGGATTTCCGAGTTGTATTATGGAGGATTATTGGTATCAGAGATAATTATTACTTATTGGAATTTATTCTTGGAGGATTTAATTATTATTTTAGTTTTTCTTTCAGCTTTTATTTATTCTTTATTTATCTATTTGTATTCTGTGTTTGTTTATTGCCTTAATTGTTTGATATCCCTCGGTTTTGCGCGCGGACTTGATCTTGGGGGGTATCACAAGCATCAATACCATGGTGAGTAGGGGGTTTTCACCAAGAAGATTTTTTTAAGTAAGAGATTATTTTATCCTTGATTTCACTCTCAGAATCAATGGTGGAACCTGTAGAAGTCTTAAGACTAAGAATCTTTTTTTTTTTTTTTTGTTGGATCTGGACAAGAATGACTTACGAAAATAGGAAGTATTTGAATCCCCAAGTTGAAGCCAAGTGACCCTTGATTTTTGCCTTATGACATTCTCCTCAGCAAGCAGAAGATTAGCATATTGGAGTGATAGAGCTTTCTCTATGATTCTAAGCTCCTCATCTTGTGGGGATCTATCCAGGTTAGACTCATTTGACTTTCATAGCTTGTACGTGAAGGTAAATAAAAAAAGGTATCCCTACATGCTACTCTGAGAGGGTTCTTGAGTGGTTTTAACTTTTGTACAACTTTGAACATGGTTGTCCCTCTTACAAAATCCTTCCATTCGCTGTCAACAATAGGCATAAAGAGAGGGTGAAAGCACCAAACATTGAAAAAATTAAATAGAGTTAATCTTGCAGGAATAAAGGTATTGATCTTGACTAAGATAAGATTGTGTTTAGAAATGCCAGGTGGGATGAATGAGCATTTTGAATTTGGAAAGATTGAGTGCCACTTGTAGCTAATCAGAGCCATATCAATCTTCCTAGCTATACATGCAACACTTGGACTTTTGTTGTTCCAAGTATAGAGGATGCCATTGTATCTGAGGTCTTCAAGCTCAGCATCAATAAGACATACCCTGAATTCAGAAATGGCAGGGAACCATTTGGAAGATCCACCATGTTTCTCACCTGTGTTGGTAATAGCATTGAAGTCACCTAGGACTAGCTATGGGGAAGAAACAAACCGTGTTGAGTGAGAAATGATGTCGTGCCATAAGGAAACCCTCTCAGCAGCAAGGTTAAAGCTATATATAAAGGTGAGATTGAAGGTGGTTTGTGTGCCAACCAGTAAAATGGAACAATGCATAACTTGTTTGGTTTCATGTGGGACAGTAAAAGTAATATTTTTGGAGTTCTAAAGAACCCAAATTCTACCAAGCTGTGAGTGGGAGTAATTGTGTACAATCGACCAATTTGTAGTAATTCTTCTATGGATAACATCATTATTATAAGTAGCAACCTTAGTCTCTTAATAGAGAGAGAATCAATCTTGTGCTCAAATATGAGTTTTTTGAGCTTAAGTTGTTTAGGGAGCTCATTTAGGTTTTTAATGTTCCATGCAATGATGTTAGTCATTTGGAATGGTTTTTATAGGAACCCCTAAGATACCTCAAACTTGAAGAATTGGCTAGTATTATCTTTGGCAAAGAATTGGAGCTGTGACTTTTGGATCTTCTCATGGCCACCTTCCCAGTCCTATTTGAAGCACTGAGTGTAGGGCTAAGACAGTGGTTGTGCTCAGGAAGATCATCATGGTCAGTTAAACTCGCATCATATGAATTAGAGCTAACTTCCATGGCTAGGTCATCTGTGGCAATGGGAGAAAACATATTCTGGACAACTTTAAAGGTTGACTCTGAAGGGCTACTGGGACTCTTACACGTCTTGTTGATGAGCTGAATGTTAAATGATGAGAGATCAATGGTGAACATTGCCTTCCTAGTGGATGGTGATGCAAGATCCTTTGCAGGTGGTAATGGGCTAGAAACCATATCTGGATCACTATTAGTTGGCAGTAGGGATGTTGCAGTGGCTTTACCTTTCTTTCTCTTGGTGACAAGCTGCCACTCAGTGGACTGCACATGATGGTTGGGGAATATCTCGTCAAGGACTCGGTCTCTGGAATATACCACTTGAGTTAAGCTTTTAATATAGTAATCATTTAATTGATGAATTAATAACATATATTCTGTCAATTATATGGAAGTTAACCTGGATTTTAATTGATAAATTAATAACATATATTCTGTCAATTACATGGAAGTTAACCTGGATTTTAATTGAGGAATTATTAACTTATATTCTGTCAATTACATGGATTTATGTGTTGGATTATAATTGCTGAATTATTATATTAAATTCTGTCAATTATCTGGATGTTGTGGATTGTATGCACCGGTATAGGACGGTGGCATATTAGGGATGGTTTAGCTCAAAACGCTAAGACATACCCTATTGGAATAAGGGAATGGATTGTAAAAAGTTGAATCCTACTTCTATTTAGGTCAAATTGATAAGCGCCGAATATTGCATATTCAAGCGCCCTAAATTGCATTAGTTAAGTCCATTATTTGATTTTATTATGTAGATTATCTTCATTTGTGCATTTTTGTTTATTTTTAGGTTCATTGGCTTAAAAGAAGCAAGAATGATGTTTTGTTGAAATTTTAAATGCAAAGGCACAATGCTAAAGCTTGGCAGCAGTGGAACCTGACTTTTGTCGCCATTTTCGACCTAGCAAACTCAAGAACTGGACTTCCATCATAACATGAAAGATTTAGAGTTCTGAATTAGCTTTCTAAATATTTAAACGGTTTGTCATTCGAAGCTCAGAGCAGAGAGTTATGGCCCTGTTACCAGAGGTGCGCAGAACTACCTGGTAGCAATGAAATTCTGCCTTGATCTTCATTTTAGACCAACCATCCTTGAGAATTGGATCTCCACCAAAACATGAAGTATTTAAAGCTCTGAATTATCTCTCCAAATCTTCAAACGGTTTGTCATTCGGAGTTTGGAGCACAAAGTTATGGCCGTTTTACCAAAGTAGGTCCGGGCGGAGCAAACCAAGCATAGGGCATTCTGCCCAATTTTTGAGTGCTCGAGGCCCTATTTCGAGCACTCAAAATTAGGGCAGAATTCTACACGACTCAGCCCACTTGTGCTCAGATTTTAGCCCTTTTGGATTGCCTCCTTTATGAAGTGGTTGGAGATGTTGGTTGGTAGCTTTTGGGGTGGATAAGTGATCTAGATAAGGAAAGCAAAGCCACTCATTATCTGATAAGCTACATTTTGCAAGATAGAGGAGAGGGAAGAGAGCAAGAAAAGAGAGGAGTTCTTCAAGCAAAGGAAGGAGCACGAAAATGGAGTCTTGAATGGAGCTTCTTCCTTCTTCTAGCTTAGCAATGGGTAACTAACTCTTTCTCTAGGGAGGTGATGAAGTCCCTCCCTTGTAAGCATGTCCTAGGGTAGTCTATATTGGGGGATTGCAATGTATATTTATGGTTTTTTTCATAGCTAAGAGCACTTTATTTGGTGTAATGAATGTTTATATATGTATGGATGATTTCTTCAAGCTCATTATCTTATGTTAGGTGATGTCTTGTATTAATCTTTTTGCTTGAGTTTACATGGTGAGAATGGAAACAAGGTTATGAAATGATTTAATGGCATGTTGATAGGTGACTTTGATAGACCATTGCTTAGGAAATCCTTTGATGGTGTATGCTTAATCTCTAGCTCCATGTGCTTCATCATTTTGTCAAGAATTTGATAGTCTTTCATTTAAGTAAACGTGTATAAGCTACACCTTAGTTAGGTAGTCTAAATATGTTTACCCTTTTGATGGATTATACTTGTTTGAGACCTAATGTACCTCTTGATTACTTACATGGCAACTATGTGTTGCCATGTAGTTCTTGACAATCATATGTTGTTTTTCCCCTAATTTAGGTCTAATCTAGCATGTGTATAGGGATGGAGGCGGATTCACTTCCTTAGTCTTCTTTACTCGTCTTTCATCTCTTAAATTCTTGCAAGTTTTTCATTAATGCATATTTCAATTCATAGTATAAGTGCCAAACAATCAATAACTCTTTATTACACCTCATCATCCTAAGAATGATTTTAGACATTTAGGTTGCTTTAGACTAGCGCAGTCCCAGTGGTTCGACTTACCCGACGAATAGCCCTATTTTACAATGATTCGTGCTATTGCGAAGGTTGATGTATAGTTGATCAACTGATCACAAATCAACTGAGTAAGTTGAGTGACTACATGGATTAATTGTTGGTTGGAGTTATGTCAGATCAACTGAATAAGTTGAGTGACTAACTGGATTATAAATCTTGTGTCAGATCATTATATAATTGAATGACATACTCGGGTTTTGGACGGACTTTAAATATATGGTTATGGTACCACGAGATGAGCTTGAGTCTCAGACTCATTGGTTAGGGTGCGTATATGCAGTGGATGCGTAGCTGGCTATGATAGGCTGAGGTGTACCCTGTTAAGTCTAGGTATTCATGCCTACCTTTGGGTACGTTTTTGCATGTTACCTTCTATTCAGGTTGAGACCCCCTTTGTAGTCCAGTGAATGTCCCTTAGTGTGGATATATATATATTTATGGACTAGATAGATATTGTGAGATATCTAGAATGTACTTGTGTATCGAGTCACTGTATAGACTGCAATTAGAATGAAACTTGTTCGTGGGCCTGACCCACCCTTATATTTTTCAGGTATCGGACGGTTCCAATCTTAGGGCTTGTTCGGGCTGAGCAGAGACGGTCATTCACTCTACCGACGACGTAGGATTTCATTCCATGCTTTAGATTTGGTTTTTTTCCAGTTGTTTATGTTCAGTTGGGATTTTAGGGGTCCACTAGATGGATTCCCAAGTTTTACTCTGGGAGGTTGTTATGAGATGGATTATTTTTAATCTTTAACTTTGGAGGATTTTACATTTAATAATTCTTTCAGCTTTATTATTTATTTTCTTAAATCTTTTTGTATTCTGTGTTCATTTATATATTAATTGTTGGATATCCCCTTGGGTTTGGGCTTGGGCCTGATCAACCCATATCTCGGAGTTGAGGGGTATCACACTACCAATCTGATCGACCAAACTGATAAAACGAAGGGGTGCAACTTGGGTTGGGTAATCCGAACCAACCCGAGCCCCGCCCGATTTTTTACGGGCATGGGCAA